TAATTTATTAAAAAAAAAACATAATTTATAAATTATAACATTCCTTTAAATTAATATATAGTTAAACCTCTATAAATTAATATAGTCGGGACTAGGGAATTCTATTACTTTAGTGAATTATTAAATTATCCAATTAATAATTTAACACGTTTTCACCGAGTCGTGATCGAGAGAAACTATTATTTAATCGAGGTTATTAATTTATCGAGGTTCTACTGTATAGACACGTATGATATTTCAAGTGACGAGATAAAACAATTCATACGTAAAAATAAAAATAAATAAATAAAAAATTACGTGGATTGGTTACAATTTAAAACCCAGAGATTCGTGGTTCCCAAAAGTGAAGGTTATAGATAACACGATATTAATTACACATAGTTAAAAAACAATAAAAAGTTATGGATAAAAGTAATCAAGAAAGTTTGCCTTGTTTAAGAAATAGTATATGATGAATTTAATTAAGGAGAGATGGTCACGTTAGGGATTAGGGGAAATGTGAAGAGAGAGTGGAAGGGACGCGCTAATTAATGACACAAATTAGAGAGTAATATGACAACCAATAAACCAACATTAAGGGGTCCCTTTCACATTGTAATAAAATAGTTAATAATATTAAATTATTAATCAACTTTGGATTTATTTCCACATTTGCTTGCACGTCCTTCATAAACTTTCACCATTACCGATCTGTCTGCATTCGGACTCATATTAAAACCCAATCCTCCGTCTCTCTCTCTCCTTACTCTCTCTCTCTTCCTCTCTCTCTCTCTCTCTCTCTCTCCTTACTCTCTCTCTCTTCCTCTCTCTCTCTCTCTCTAGAAGACATCGTCGTTACTGTTGTTTAATCACTGTACAATTATGTAAATGGATAATAATAGATTCAACCACCACCAATTTGTCTCCGAGCTGGAAGAAACCAACCAAATTTGTCTCCGAGCTGGAAGAATCCGAGCTTTCGCCGGAAAACAGCGGAGGCGATTCAAAGATCGCCTCTACTTTCCGCTTCCAAGAGAAGGGAATCAAAATCTCTCTCTCTCTCT